ACAAGCATCTCTGTGCTGGCAGGGGTCTCCACGTCGTGGCTCCTCCAGGTCCAGGGCAAAGGGTCTATCAGCGTAGCGCCATGTGTCTCATCAGTAGAGTGCCTCTCAGGGAGTCTGTGTGTGTCCCTGCCTCTGGTGAGCCTTAGTGCCTCCCAGTGAGGTCATCAAGCTTCAGTCTGAATGACAGGCTAGACGTCACCCCTTCACCCCTTGAATCCTCAAATTGACAACAGATCGTGTAACCACACACCTGGGAAAGCCAACGTGGCCCTCAGACTGTTCTTCCACTTAGTAAATACTTGCCAAATCGCTGTTGGGCACCAGGTACTCTTCGGGATGCTGGGACTATGGCTGTAAGCAAGATGGAGAAAGTCCCTCTCCATCCCCTTACCATGATATGTTTTTCAACCACTGCCTGGCCTCACCATGTGCAGCGATTTGGGTGTTGGTCCATCCGCCATCACATTCTCTGGCAATGTCAGCTGTTAGGGGATGGGCTCTGCTTGTCGTGGTCCCAGAGGAACCCTCTGCCTTCAAAATGACATCTGCCTCACGAATGTGGAGGGCTACCAAGTCCGTTCTGACTCATCAGCACCCCGAGGAAAAGAACGTATCTGCAGGAACCCCTACAGAGCAGATTATTCTATTCTGTCCTATGGGGTGGCTAGGAGTCAGAACCAATGAGGTGGCTCTTGTGGTGTAATAGGTTACCTGTTGGGCTGCTGAGGTTAACAGTTCGAACCTAGACCTCCACCCCTTGGGAGAAAGCAGTCTTTAAGATCTGCCTCCTTGGAAACCCTAGATAGGGTCACAAAGCATCAGAAGAGACTGGAAAGCAGAGTCTCTACTTTGGGGTTTAATCTTTACAGAAGCAGACCACCTGGGCTTTCTCCAAAAGGTCCACTGGGGAGGTTCAAACCTACCACCTTTTGGTCAGTAGCCAAGCACTTGACCAGGGCTCTTTAGCTGGCTTGTGGTGTGTCTCAAGAGGATCTGTTGAACATGTGATCGTCTACCTACACCCTTGGGTTCCTACCATGTGCTGGAAATGAGGGTGGCTGGCTGATACATGGGGCCAGCATCCTATACACTCTCCCATCCATACTTTGAGGGGCGTGCTGCCATCCTCTTGCTCTCCAGATGAAGAAACTGGGCTTCAGAGAACATACGTGGCTTGACCTAGTGGACATGGTTGGTCTCATATGTAGTAGTTTTCTGACCCAGCAAACCAAAGAGCTAGAGGTCATCAGACCCCGGGGTACTGATCAGTGTAGGGTGCTGCAAGCCTTTCACAAGTGAACATGATACCAGCATCTACGTTAAAGCCAAGTGTGGTAGCTACTACTTAATCTGCTGTCAATTTGAGACTTAAGAGTGAAGGGGTGGAACTTAGCCTGTCAATCAGGTGGCAGCTTGATGACCTCATTGGGAGGCGTGATGGAGATAAATAGCTCACTGCAGGCGGGACACACG